CGGTGGGGATCAAATATGGCCGCCGACTGTGGGCTAAATCACGAACTGTGGCGTTTATTTTTTATAGAATCTTATCGGGCTGGGCCACGTTGTGGGGGTGGGCGGGGTGGGGGAATGCACGCAAGGAAGAGGGGATGGGGCTGGGACTAGGCTTTCTCAGTCTGAGGGCTGGGATGAAAGAGGAGGGGCGGGCCTTGGGAAGGGACGAAGGAGAATGGGAAAAATTAAATAAAAGAGAGAGAGAGAAAGAGAGAGAGAGAGAGAGAGAGAGAGAGAGAGAGAGAGAGAGAGAGACAGAGACAGACAGACAGACAGACAGACAGACAGACAGACAGACAGACAGACAGACAGACAGACAGACAGACAGACAGACAGACAGACAGACAGACAGACAGACAGAGAAGGGAGGGGAGAAAGAGAGAGAGAGAGAGAGAGAGAGAGAGAGAGAGAGAGAGAGAGAGAGAGAGAGAGAGAGAGAGAGAGAGAGAGAGAGATTGTGATCAACTGACGGGCTGACGGATAATGACAGGGAGAAAAAAAAATTATGTGTGTGATACGGACTGTTCAATTCTTTAAGAGTTTTATGTTATAATCTAGTTTAAAAATCAGAAAGATGTGTAAAATAAGAAGAAAACTTGTCCGAGTAACATAAAATTATCAAACATACCAAATTATAAAGACAATTTTTCAAGATGCTAAAATATTTAATCATAAGAAATGGATAAAAATATACTTTTTAACTGAATTTAAGATATATGATTGCATGATTTTAGGCGTGTGCCATAACTAATTTTATGTGTAAGGAATAGCGGACACAAAAGAGGGTCAATGTTTGCTTTCTCTAATTTGCTAACAGTATGTCTTGGTCTATAAATAACATTATTGATCATAATAATTTTGTTTCCTGGTTTTCACAAAGTGGAGCTCACAATGATTTCAAATATTTAAAAAAAAAAAAAAGAGATAACAGCACCCTTGGAGGTGTGATTTCATGCATGAGCGTGGATAACCTTTGAAGAGTTTTTTTTTTTTTCTTCAGTAAAATATGATATAGAGAGCAGCATTTTTAGTCCCTTATTACACTTCAGAGGGGGATAATTTATCTTAGTGATGACTCTTGTGTAGTAAAATTTGTTGTAGCTTTGTTTGGTTTATTTTTTAACAGCAGAACCTTAAGTGAACCGGAATTATTGATTGTGGGATCTTAGGTAAAGACTACAACAATAGAATTAAACCGAGTATAGTTCTATCTAACAAGACTCAAACTCTTATCCATCCCACCCTACCCTCTCCCCTCATCTGATATGGTTCGGTGTTTCTTTAACATAGAAAATATTCATCATTATTGTTGTTGAGTATTGATTTCATGTTTTAATGGAGCCTCTAGATATCTACATTTAGACTACAGTAGCATCTAATTTGCACACACAAAGGAAAGCAATATCTTTAATTAAAATGTATAATATGTCTATACATACACATACATAATAATTATATATATATATATATATATATATATATATATATATATATATATATAAATATATGTACACACACATAATAATTATATATTTATGAATAAGAATACTTTTTAAAAATTGAGTATCTCGGTCTTTCTGCTGGGGTGTTGTATCCCTTTCAGCCTGGGTTGGCCTTGGCATGTAGCGCCCGAGCCAGCCTCTTATGAATATTAATTATTTAAATTGTGTTGCTGGGGGCATAGAAACACTTTCATTCAAATTTTTAAAAAGGAAAACAACTTAACAGTGAAAACTTCGGTCCACTGCAGCATCATATCGGTTCTTACACTTAAATACAACACAGGTGCAAGGCATTTTTACTAATTAACTTGCCTAATCTCAAGGACCTCGGAATAAAACCTTCTTTCTTATCTAGATTTCAGTGCCTGATCGGGCAATCGCGCAGCGCAGGCAGACCACAGTTCCACCGCGAGAGAGGGCTCCTATCAGGCGTGCGGTGCCGCCCACACAGCATCCTCCATTACTTTTAATCTCCTTGCCTATTACACATACTGGGATATATTATAGATGTTTTTGGTGTCAGTGGGCCCAAACAGTTCTAGTCTTTCGATGTTGGACGGCGTATATACAAGGTGAAAAGAATATTGCATGGACATGGTTTTAAGTGTGTCCATTGAAAGGATAAAATTTGCAAAAGAAAGTGAGCGGTTAAGGTGGCAGGCAAATCCGTGGATTAAGTTAAAAAGCGATCATACTGATCTGAAACCCGCGTTAAATTTGTGAA